CTGTCTCAGCTCAGGAAGGAAGGCTCTAGAGCAAACTAATTTATGCAGTAGCCAAATTGCTAGCTCACAACTTTCATGCCAGTAGCTCACAAAGTAGAATTTTTGCTCACAAGCCCCCCCAGCTTAGAGGGAACATTGACCCCGACCACAGTGCTCTCTGGGGTATATATGGGGAAATTAGTTTGTTCAGTCTGTGTGAGCCGGAGGCTAAAAAAACCCTGTAAGCTAGCTCACACTGACTCAGCTTAGAGGAAACACTGCCCACCACCGAAGTTTAAACAAAACAAAACAAAAAAACACACTTAACAGTGGCCAGAATTTCGTAATTCGGGGGGGGGGGCTTTAAATAAGTCGGGGGGCACTAACGTCAAAAATGTAAACAAATAAAATAAAAATAAAATTTTAAAAATTCACTTTTGCAGCATTTGCTGTCTGCTTGCCTACATGAGGAAGCAAGCTGCACTCGGCGAAGGGGCAGTGGCGGGGAGTCCTCCGGGTGGCCCAGAGAATTGCGGGGCCTGGGGGTTGTATGGAAGTCAGGGGGCCTTGGCAGGAAGTCAGGGGGCCAGGCCCCGAAATACCCCATTGTAGCTACAGGCCTGATTCCATAAATCTCCCGCAGAATATTGCCTGGAACTCCCCTCCAGGGGCCTTCCAAAAAAGCCAACCCCTGTGAGGTCTAATTAAGACCGCCAGCAAATGTTAAGGGGGCGAACGGGAGCCGTTGGTGAACTGGCATCGATTTGTTATTGAACATCTGAAGAGGAGGGGGGGAAGGGGGCACTAACGTCAAAAATGTAAACAAATAAAATAAAAATAAAATTTTAAAAATTCACTTTTGCAGCATTTGCTGTCTGCTTGCCTACATGAGGAAGCAAGCTGCACTCGGCGAAGGGGCAGTGGCGGGGAGTCCTCCGGGTGGCCCAGAGAATTGCGGGGCCTGGGGGTTGTATGGAAGTCAGGGGGCCTTGGCAGGAAGTCAGGGGGCCAGGCCCCGAAATACCCCATTGTAGCTACAGGCCTGATTCCATAAATCTCCCGCAGAATATTGCCTGGAACTCCCCTCCAGGGGCCTTCCAAAAAAGCCAACCCCTGTGAGGTCTAATTAAGACCGCCAGCAAATGTTAAGGGGGCGAACGGGAGCCGTTGGTGAACTGGCATCGATTTGTTATTGAACATCTGAAGAGGAGGGGGGGAAGAGGGGGTCTCTCCCTCTCCCTCTCTCTCCCCCCTTTCATCGCTGGCTGCTCCTAAGCGGCTGCTCCAGTTGTAAAGGTTGGGGGCTGCCGGGGAGGGAGGGAGAGAGGCAAAGCGAGGGAGATATCATGCCTCACCCTAACAACCCCCCACCGCCACCAATGCTCCCTCTAAGCTGTGGCGTCTTGTGAGCAAAAACTCTACTTGTGAGTTACCGGCATTAAAGTTGTGAGCGAGCCATTTGGCTACTGAATAATTTATTTATTTGTTAATTCAATATATTGCCTGGAACTCCCCTCCAGGGCCCTTCCAAAAAAACCCAACCCCTGCGAGGTCTAATTAAGACCCACCAGCAAATGTTAAGGGGGCGAACAGGAGCTGTTGGTGAACTGGCATTGATTTGTTATTGAACATCTGAAGAGGAGGGGGGGAGAGGGGGTCTCTCTCTCTCCCTCTCCCTCCCCCCTTTCATCGCTGGCTGCTCCTAAGCGGCTGCTCCAGTTGTAAAGGTTGGGGGCTGCCGGGGAGGGAGGGAGAGAGGCAAAGCGAGGGAGATATCAAACTGTAAAGGGAGCGAACAGGAGCCATTGGTGAACTGGCATCGATTTGTTATTGAACATCTGAAGAGGAGGGGGGGGAGAGGGTCTCTCTCTCTCTCTCTCTCCCTCTCCCTCTCTCTTCCTCCCCCCTTTCATCGCTGGCTGCTCCTGAGCGGCTGCTCCAGTTGGAAAGGTTGGGGGCTGCCAGGGAGGGAGGGAGCGAGGCAAAGCGAGGGAGAGATTATTCCTAAACCCTTTTGCCTTCCTCTACTGTCAGGACCACACAGGCAACCCACGAGAAGAAGCGAAGGAGCAGAGACTGCCCGCCCTTCAGTGCAATTCCCCGGGGAGCCCCGGGAAACCCTTGCAGGGGGTTTTTTTGGGGGGGGAGGGAGCGTTTGACGGTCTAGGGGAGGGGGGGGCGCAGACGCC